GGTGTCCTAGCAGTGAATTTATTTCAGTTATGCAACAAGGAAACCAAATTAAAGGGACTATAAAGTGGGAGCAGGAGATAAAGGAACCAGATGTGAAGCTGGAATTAAGACAAACATAAAAAGTAAAACCCAAAACCCACACACAGCAGTCTGCACAGTGCGGCGGATCGCCTCTCTGTCCCTGCCTGCCGGAAGGCTCCTGGTTCTCGCCCCACTCCTACTCTAGCTGAACCCCTGGGAAGGGCGTCTCCCTCTCAGGGCCTCAGTTTCCATTCCGTGAAACGGGGGATGGCACTGGATCGGTGGTTCTCAGTAGGGGGAGGTTTTGTCCTCCAAAGGAATATCAGGCAGTGCCTGGAAACCTTTTCAGTGTCACACTGGGGAGGGTGCTACTGGCACCTACTGGGTAGACCCCAGAGATGCTGCCCATGATCCTACAGTGCACAGGACAGGCCTCTACAACAAAGGATTCTCTGTCCAAAATGTCAGGGGTGCCGAGGCTGAGACATCTACTCTGGATGGTCTTGGTGGTTTCCCCAGATCTGACCTACTTTCGATTCTGTGAGTTTGGGCCCAGCGTTTCCTCACCTCCTGTAAGAGAAGCAAAGCTCTCACGGCCCACCAGACTGTGGCTGTGGCCCACTCAACTATGAGGGGGAGAGAAGAAATAAACAACAGGGTCAAAGGCAGGAAACAGTCTCAAGTCCTCCGCGGGAGGCCCGGCAGTAAAAGGCAGATGTGGACTGAGGCCTCCCTTCCTCACGTGAATGAACAGGGCCCCCTCCTGGTGTGTGTCAGCATAGCAAGCAATGGGTTGATGGGCGGAAAACCACACAATATTTGAATAAAAACATGGTGTCGGTGGGATATTTCCCTACTGACCACCTTATGACTTCTCGGGGTAAAAGAGAAAATACTAGTCAATCATAGCAGAATTTCCTTGAAAAACATAACAGACTTGTAAACAGTTACTTAAGAAATGCTGACTCATTTTAGATTAGACTCAATATGGAAGAGCCTGCCACAACCACACCCTTTGTGGACGCTGGATAAATGACAGGTGCAGCCCGACCATGCAGAGTGGGGAGGAGAGGTCTTTTCAATCAGTGGTGCTGGGCCAACTTGGCAAGAAATGCGATTGGATTCCTACCTCCCAGGAAACATAAGCATCCAGTCCAGATACATAACACACTTAAAGGCCTGTTACGTCTTAAAAGGCTAAACTCTAAAACTTTTAGAAGATAACTTAACTTCATGACTTTACAGTAAGGAAGACTTTTTAAATAAGTCAACGAGCACCAGCCATACAGGAAAAATAAAATAAAATAAAATAAAATACACCTTAGGAACTTCTGTTCATCAAAAGACAAGCTGCAGGAATATATTTGCAATACATATACCCACAATATATAAATAACAGCCACAAATCAATAAGAAAAGGTAACTCAATAAGAAATAGGTGAAAACATTGAACAGCATTTCACAAAGAGGCTGTCCAAATGGCAATACAATATGGAAAGAGACTCAGCCTCATTGGTCATCAGGGAAGTAAAAACCATAATGAGATAACATGACACATCTACCAGAATGCCTATGATTGTTGAAAAGAGACAAAGTTTTCCTGAGGATGCAAAGAATTAAAACTCCAATACCTCGCTGAATGGGAAAATAAATGGGTACAACCATTTTGTAAAACTGCTTGGCAGTCTCTACTGAAGCTAAACATGTGTCTACACATGGACTCAGCCATTGTACTGCCATGTATTTACCTGATACAGATGAGAACGTATACTCACCAAAAGAAATGTACAAGGATATTCATGACAGCTCCTTTCATAACGGTATCCAACTGCAAATCATTCAAATGTCCATCCCAAGTAAAATGGACAATTCAATTAATCTATGCAGTGAGAATACTGCATATTCTGTATATTACTGGATGTACAGTGGACCTTAATTAAAAGCACCAAGAAAATAAACACCCCACTCCATAGGTGTATGGGGTTCTGTACTAATAATGCACCCTGAATATTAAGAAAATTTACAAGCACCCAAGTTATAGAAGAAAATATACCTTTGTCTAAGTAATCACTTTTCAATTTATATTCTCTCTACCTAAAAAGTAATGAGATACTAATAAACTGTTAAAAACAAAAAGGCAAGTCACAGAATGAGAAGGTGCTTGCAGAATATACACCAATATGGAGCCCACACCAGAAAGAACTGCAAGTCTGTTAGAAAAAGGCAGATGACACCAAAGAAAAATGGGCAAGACTTCTCACTTTGTACTTTTCAGTATCTTTCCAGGTTTTCTAAACTATTATATACACTTCTACCTTTTTATATTTACTTTCGGTTCAATAATACTACACGAATATACTTTCCGTGTAAAATATCAGACACTCCAGATAAAAGTAAAGTCCCTATTGACCTTTAATCCTGGTTCCCTCCAATACATAGAGAAAATGACTAAATTATTATGCTTTTTTTCCCTAGTTTTTTTTTTAATGCAGTATTCTTTTGTGGGTTTTAATGTTTTGTTTATTTTACATGTATGGCATCATACTGATGTGTGTCTTGTCCTGGGACTAGCTTTTTCCCCACTCAATATTATGACTTTTACCATGTTTTCTGCTGGTATGTACAAAGTTACTATAGTTATTACCTTATTCTTTTTTAAAAAAGAATTTTTTTAATTGATTTCAGAGAGGTAGAGGGAGGGAGGGAGAGAAACATCAATGATGACAATCATTGATTGACTGCCTCCTGCACACCCCACAGTAGGGATTGAGCCTGCAACTTGGCCATGTGCCCTGACTGGGAATCGAACCATGACTTCCTGGTTCATAGGCCAACACTCAATCACTGAGCCAATCAGCCGAGCTAGTACCTTATTCTTTTTCATGACTTCAGAGTCCTCCATAGCATGGATGCTCCACAGTTTACATAGCCCTGCCCCCTGGATGGCCACTGAGTCGCACTCCTTCCTCCTTGCCACCACCCCCCTTATTTTTGCTCCTAGTCCCCCTGTTTAATGAGAACAATTGCTATGTTATTTAAATGTGTATGTAATTCCAGCTTCATAAAGTAAAAAACTCCAGAAAGCTCATGCCTCATTCTAACCTCAGAAAGTGTCATGGCTTTGGGGATTTCCCCAGTTGTCTATATAGAAAGCGGAGCGCACAGCTTTCGGGAGCCCTGACCTTTCTATGTGCCTGCCCCCATCCCCCAGGACTGGGAATGGTGCTAAAAACCTATGACTTTGTTTTTCTACCTCAGCTGCTGATGTGCTGTGCGACCTTGGGCGAGTGGCTCCCCTCTCTGGTTCCTCACTTCCCCACTTATGAATGGGGGGCGGGGTTGGAACATATACTCTGTTGGGGTCTCTCTCAGCTCTGAGGAGTGTCCTGTTGTCTTCAGTGATACATGCAAGTGACCACCAAGGCAGGGATGCCTGAGAAAAATTTCCCCTTTCCTTGTAGCCCCGTCCATAGTCTGCCTCTCGGGGTCTGTCAGGAGAAGTGTAATTGATGCTCAGGAGGTGCGCTCAGGAGACACCCAGGACCTGAGGCTTCAGGCACCCGCCCTCCCCCTTCCCTCCTCCCTCCTCTCCCCCCAGGTCCCCTGCAGCATCTCCTCATCTTCCTGAGGCCTTGAGCAGAGCAGTGCTTCCTACTTATCTCATCCCCACGACTGCTGAAGGCTAAGTTGCCATGGCAACCCAGGCCCACTGAACCATGTTATAAACCTGTTTCTATAAAGAGGAACACTTAGCTGTCTGGAGAGTCCTTCTAAAGGGGAGCGGAGAGGCAATTACTCATGGAGGAAGAGCAAACCTGCATATTTCAGACCTTCCAGTGTGTACATGTCCCTCCTGTGGAGATGGGATTCTGAGGCGTGGACCGGGCCGGCTTACAGACAACCGGAAGCAAGAACCTTCCTGGGCTCTTCTTCTGAGCTCTTGCTATCATGGCCTCCTTCACATCTCTCTCTACCTTTGTTCCCCTCCTTCCTAATTCCTTCCTTTTCCCTCCCTTCTCCATGTGCCTGCCTGCAAGGTGACCCCTGGGATGGACAACTGCAAAAGCCTCGTCCTTGACTCACCTTCCAGCCAGTCCTTCTCCGAATGGCCAAAGGGGCCTTTAAAGAAAGTCCATCGAACCCCCTCACTCTCCATCTCACAAGGGGATGGCCAGGGACTGCGGCCACCTGCTTCTCCCCCCTCAGCCCCGACCTTGTCCCCTTACCCTCTGCAGTCCAGTTCACTATGGGCTGCTTTTTCTTAAAGACATTCAAGTCTCATCCTCTCCCGACACCCATCACTCTCTGTGTGTCCTAGTTCCCTGTTGAGTGCTTCACAGCACGTGCACCATCTGCATTCACAATCTCTGCTTATTTACTTCTTCCACCGCCTCCCTCTCCAGAATAAAAATAGTAATAATCTGTCTCCCTTGTTCCTGGCCATTTATCTTCCACCCAGACCTGCACCTGGTCAGGTGCAGGCTATCAACACCCTCTCTCACTCACCCTCAACCCCACAGCAGGCTCTCGGTTCTATGTCCCCATTAAAACCTGCACTCGTCCCTCATGGCACTGACTGTCACTGTGACCACATCACTTCTGGGTAAATACTGCTCAGTATGGGTCTCCTCGTGATTGTCCAGGACACGAGGCAGGGACTGGCTACTGCTATGTCCAGGAGGGCAGCGCCTGTCCTACGGCAGCCAAGGAGTCATTATTTGTTTAATGAGTGACGGGAAAATTAAGACTCCCAGATGGCCAAGGTCCAGCCGCTGGTGAAGGTGGGCGGGATGGGACCCTTGTTCTTCTCTAGCACTCGGTTGGTCAAGCTCTCTGACACAGAAAGGTGGGATGCAGGCCCCACCGGAAGAGCGAGGATCTTGCTGCAGGCCCTGGTCAGGTGCAGTGGGGCCTCAGGAGTCTGACGGGGGGCGGGTTCCTCCCAGCCTGGGACGCTCCCCTCTGGGCTCAGGACTCACCAGGGCTTGCTCTATAAGCAGGCAGAACAGGATGGCGTTGCCCACTTCCCTCAGGCTCTGGAACACGTCTGTTTTGAGCTCTGCGTACTCAATGATGTCCTTCAGCTGGTGGTGGAAGAACTCCAGGATCCCTGGGGGTACAGAGAGGCCGTCAGCGGGGAAGTAACACAGCTCAGCTGGGTTCATGGGACCTGTCAACTGAGCAGCAGCCCCAGACCTGACTCAGGGACAGCCAAAAGCCAAACCTTCGGGCCCTGGGGTAAGGCTTCCTTCAGGCTCAGTATTAGAGGAAGACCAGGAGGCGGGTTCCAATCTTTTATGGAACAAAACACACACACACACACACACACACACACACCCACACACGCACACACGCACAGTGAGCAGCCCTGGGTCTTTCCCGGTCCCTCCAAAAACTTACCCGAATTCTTAATAATGACAGGCATTAATATTTATTTAGCAGTGTTAGATGCTGTGCTAAGGACTTTATCTGCAATCCCTCATTTGATACTCATAACAACACTATGAATCGGCAGTATTACTCTCGTTTTCAGATGAGGCTCAGAGAGGGTAAGTGGCATGCCCAGAGTCACACAGCTTAGTACATGGGGCAGCTGAGACTGAACACCAGAGTTTTCGGCCCCAGCCCTTTCCTGTTCTAAATCACACTGACCCAGAAGACCATCTTTCTGGATGCCCCAAGCCCCCAATTCAGTCTCTACTCCACTGACTATGAGGGAAGAATCACTTCTCTGCCCAGATGTCAAATGGTAAAAACTCCTGTTTCCGGACTCACTTTAGAAATGCCACCTGGGGCCGATGGAAGATGGAATCCTAGAAATGCTAAGCTAATGAAGACCTTTATGAGTAAACCTTGCTCTCCCGTTTGCATACTCGTACAGCTTCCCAGCAGGCCTGTGAGGGAGGCCCAGCCGCCATTGTTTGCCTTCGCTGATGGAAGAATACTACCGCTCAGAGGGATAAAAAATGGTTGGGGGCTAGCTTCTAGCTAGTGGCAGAGGGAGGATGCAAACCCAGAGCTCTGCCAGCGTGTGGGCATTTTAGAGAAGCAGACCCTCCAAGGCAGGTGGCCGGAGTCCCTTCCCACCACGGGAGGGGTTTGCATTATTTTCCTCTCACCACCCCTGCCCCGGTTCCCCATCACCCACCTGGGGAGCCATACTCATGCCGGGGCAAGCGGCATATCTTGGGCATCACTTCGATCAGTGTTTTCACATACTGGAGAATGGTCCCCTGGAGCTAAGAAAACAAGAGCACAAAATGAAATAATCCACCGTTGCTGCTCAGGTGCATCTCTAGGCTGAACGCTGGGTGTACGGGGGTTCTGCTGAAACGTGTGGGTAAGTGCGATGCTGAATGTGTCCCTAAATTCATGTGTTGAAACCCTAATTCCCAATGTGATGGTATTTGGAAATGAGGCCTTCCAGAGGTAATTAATTATGAGGGTGGGGCCCTCACAATGGGATTAATGCCCTTATAAGAAGAGACAGGAGAGAGATGATGTCTCTCTGTCATGAGAGGATGCAGCCAGAAGGCAATGAACTAGGAGAAAGGCTCTCACCAGAACCTGACCATGATTGCCCTGATCTTGGACCTCCAGCCTCTAGAACTGTGAGAAATAAGCATGCTGTTTAAGCCACCCAGTCTGTGGCATGTTTGTTACAGCAGCCTGAGCTGACTGAGACAATAGGCTCTGTTCCCTGATAGGACAGGGCAGGTTCTCCCCTAACGATGGGCAGTAGCCCCAGTGCCCTTTCTAAAGGAAAATGGGCCTTTATAAGACAGAAGAGGGAGCTTTATCATTAGCCCCTTGGGCTTATAGACTTTAAGGAGGGCAGTTTCTAGGCATGCTGTCCTTCCTGGAGTAGGGGGCTTACATGGGACCCAGACTAACAGCTGAAATGAAATGGGGCCAGGGAACTGTGGAGACTGGACAGTCTCTTCTTCAAGCAGGGAAAACCCATAGCACATTTATCCCCCGTGTCCAAGGCAGACTTCTTTAATCAATTCACATTTTCTGTATTGAACGTCACAGTTCATAATTCATGGCTCCACACAGCTGCTACCAGAGAACTGGAGTTAGCCAGTGAATCCTGCTTGCCATGCCCGACATGGTTATACATTACTTTTTTATTTCTCTTTCATCAGTTCAAATTTTCGGGAAAATCTTGTTTCACCCTTGCTTTAACAGTGTTCCAGGGAATTAAATGAAGGTTCAGATGACCATACATGGGGCAGAGACAGAATGGTGATAAAGGGATTGGCTTGAGGCCAGTGCAGTATTGGTAGTAGAATTTAGCAAGAAATCCCAAGGGGAAGAAGCACGGTGACTGATTAAAGATGTCTGCTAGGGGCATGGAGGTGAAAATGGTAGCATCCGGGCCATAGGTATACCATGCAGAAATTAGACAATATGGCACAGGAGGGGACTACGAGCAATCTTTACTGACCCTGAAGGTCAACGTCAGGATTGCTGAGTTCAGTCATGAAGCACAGGGAATAAGCTCAGGGTCAGACAATGAGAGGCATAAGCACAAGTCAGAAGGATCACAGAAATGTAACAGAGCAACAGGTAAGAGGAACCAAGGGATAAGGGGAAAGGTCTCTACCTACAGACACAGCTGAAGTGTCTTGATTCCAGATCCGGGTAAAAGGTGACAGCAGATCTTGTTCCTATCAACCCTGCTGGGGCACATCCCAGGCCTCGTGTGGCCCGTCCTTACCAAGCTCTTGACGATCTTCAGCAGCTCCTCCATGACCACGGCGATGCCCTGGTAGCCCAGGAGTCTGCAGATGGTCTTGAAGTGAGGGGGCCCCACGAAGTTCCTGTAGGAGCTGTAGATGTGGCTGTAGGCGATGTTGAGAGGCTGGAAAAGAGAGGATGTGCAAGGTGAGCGGCTGAGCACGGAATGGACACCGGCCTGCGTCCTATCCAGGTGGGAGATGTATCGCTGACAGAAAGGACGTCACCCGGTGCTCTCACTGGGGCGCCCCGGGGAATATGTTTGCAAGATGCTGGCCATGGAGAGAGGTGTGGTCAGTGGCCACAGGACGGAGCAAAGGCCACTAGATGGAGCAGGGGTTCCCCAGGGAAAGAGGAGAAAGAACTTCCAGACGAGTATCTTTTTTACAAAGACTCCTGCTACCCCAACTGTCCACACACACACACCAGGAGTTTTACAAACCGAGCTATGGGGTGGGGGTAGAAATGACTACTTTCTTTTTCTAGAGACATTTTTGGTACTAGAAGCTGGCTGGAAGAACCCTGTGAAAACACAATAGGAGGCTAACACTGGCTTCTTTCTTCTACTTTAGTTGTCTCTGTCTATGACAGGGTGGGGTCTTGGGAAGGAACAGGCCTGGGCGTCAGGAGACCTCTGCTGAGTGCTTGGGTAAATCAGTTTCCGCATCTATGAAATGAGGGGCTGGACCAAACCAGAGCTTTCGTGACTTTCTGAGTAGCCGTCCAAAGGAAAGATGTCATAGGAACTAACGTGAAACAGGCAAAAGCAGAGCTGCTCTGTTTGGGTGTTGGTGGGGGCCTTAGGGCCCCGGCCACTGACTGGCCACCTCCATATCCTCAGAACCCCCACGACACCTTTGATGAATAGGAGGAATCTCTTTAAGATCTCTGTCTGAGAATATATGGCCAAAATATAGGTCCCTCAATTGCTCTCCTGTGGTTACCAGAGTTGTCACTGACTTTGTTTCGAATGCTGCCACTTACAGAGCACCTCATGCCAGGCTCCATGAAGCCTTCCATGTGCATTCTCATTTAACCCACACCACAAACATATGGACATGGCCAATCCTTAGTCCCATTTCACAGAAGGGAACTGAGGCTCAGGGTGGTAAGTAGCGTGCCCAAGGTCACACAGTTCACAGGTAACTGAGCCCTGACCTGCACCCAGGTAGGTCAGATTCCAAAGCCCATGTTCCTAGTCTCTAGTTTCAATGGCGGACTTTGGGACTGAATTCTATTATAAGCCATACCCATTTTTTAGATAAGGCCTCACTCCAAAGCTTAGGTCTGAGTGTAGTTTTCTTGCCTGAACACAAACCATGCATATACGAGACCACACCTGATAGTCTACTAGCTGAAATTCTCTAGTAGTTGGCTAATGAGAAGTCCTACATGAATGAACCAGGAACTGTAATGATGCGTTTGGAGGACTGCAAGGGTCTCAACTCCCTCCGGAGCCATGGTGGGAAGATTTAATTATGTTCAGCCTAGGTTTGGGGTTAAGTATGTTTTAGTGTAGATGAACTCTTCTAAACTTTACAAACTACGCATCATGATCATAGTGCCCTCTACTATCAAGGACACATGAACACAACTGGGAAACCCACTGGCAGCGAGGATTCGTGAGGAAGCAGAACACCCACGCATCCAGCAGGTTGAATGACAATTCGTTTGGGAAGCTAATGCCTACATGTGGGAGGCTCAGAAAGTGACAAAGAGCAGCTCCGCACTCCATTCGGATGTGCTGTCACAGTAAACTCTGCCTGAACCTGGCGGGTGGATAGCTTGTATGCGGTTCCTAAGGATTTCTAAGTATTAAGGGGCACAAATCGTTTATGTAGGGTGGGAACTATAACTGACTTAACGCATGATGTTCACTAAAGTCGATGTTCGGCAAATCCTGGAAGTATATGAATTGTTGGGTTTGATTCAGCCAATCATGGGGGCCATTTACTGTGTGAGTAAAATAGGCCACCCAGTCTAACTGAGCTGGGTGCACGGTGGGGTGAGTGAGGCACTAGAGCACAAAACGTTAGGAAGGGCCCTCTCCCTCGATGAGTGTATCCCAGTTCTGGCTCTGTTCTCAGAGCCTCATTCTGTATTCTCCTGCTTCCGAGGCTAGGGATGAGGAGTATATTGCAAACCCTAAACCAACATGGCTTACCTCTGGTAGGGGAAGAAGACTGAGTAGAAAGGGGCATGAGAGAACTCTCTAGGCGATGGAAATACCCTACATGTTGCATTGGTTGTTGACTACACAGATGTATATACACTTGTCAAATCTCATGAAACTACACGTACTCTTATGATTGTGCATTTACTAGTATGGACAAGAAGTTGATATTTGCAACTTCTTATGTTGAAATCCTAACCCCTATGTGTGGGACTTTTGGGAGGTCATTAAGTCATGAGGGTGGAGCCTTCATAAATGGGATTAGTGCCCTTGTAAGAAGAGACGCCAGAGCTTCCCTCCCCTCCCCCGAATCCCCATGATGTGAGATACAATGAGAACAAGACCATCTGCAAACCAGGAAGCGGGCTTTCACCAGACACCAGATCCACTGGCACCTTGATCTTGGACTTCCCAGCCTTGAGGTAATAAAGAAATTTTAAGCCACCCAGTTGATGATAATCTTGTTATAGGAGCCGGAACTAAGTGCATTTTACTATATACGATTATGTGTCCATATAAAAGTAAATTAAAAAACCCACTGGGCTACATCATGGCCTAATTTACTTCCCAACATTTGTTTTCAAAGATTAAAAAACAACAACCTTAATTTAATTTCCTCCTCTGAACCCAGTAAAGCTCTGAGCACTTTTCCTTCATCCCCTTTCAAATCCTATATAATAAAAGGGTAATATGCAAATCGACCGAACAGCAGAACAATGAGTTGCTATGACAAGCACTGACCACCAAGGGGCAGACGCTCAATGCAGGAGATGCCCCCTGGTGGTCAGTGCGCTCCCACGGTTGGCGAGTGCAGCTGCGGTGGCGGGAGCCTCTCCTGCCTCTCCTGCAGCCAGACATCCCCCGAGGGCTCCCAGACTGCGAGAGGGCACAGGCCGGGCTGAGGCGCCCCCCCCACCCTGAGTGCACGAATTTTGTGCGCCAGGCCTCTAGTATCCTATAAAAGGCATTTCTGAGCAGCAGGGTGATTTCCAGTGGCTATCCCTGGAGGAGGCAAAAAACAATCAGCTGCTTTATTTCTTCTGTCTGATTCTATGACTTCTTTTTTTGCTTTGTCTGAGTCTATAGTTATAAACGGGCATGGGCACCCCTGACTTCAAATCCCAGGTCCATAAATTTACTAGCTAGATGATCTTGAGCAAATTACTTAACCCCCCTTAGCTTTGGTTTTCCCTAAGTAAAGATAATGCAATTTCCAATAGGGCTATTGGGAGGTTTAAATGAGATAACAGACAGAAGACACTGACCCCGGTGCCTGACACTCTGCAAGCACTCATTGCAATAGCAGCCATTCCTAATGCTTTGTTTGATAATTTGGTAAGTAAACCAGGGAAATACAGCGTCCCGGTCAAATCCCCCCCCCCCCCCAGCAGTCATGATGCTCTGAATGTAAAGAGTGGGGGTGCATACATGGGGTACAAGTCTACACAACACAATGGATGTCCCACAGAGGACACAGCTGGGAACCAGCTGCTGAAATGCACCCCAAAATGAAGATTTTGCTTAATATTTACAACATTATAAAAGTGAGAGCTGTTCAACAACAGACTGCAGTGGGTAGGAGCTCTCACTGCTGCAAGTGTTTGGGCGGAGGCTGAGAAACATGGCTCAGGGTTGCTGGAAGGGAACCTGCCTGGGATTGAGCACTGGAAGAGATGGGATTAACGCTCCCTTCAGAGGTGCAAGCTCCAGCGAGGTCTTCCTGGATGCTCATCCTCCCTGGCAGTCTTCTTAACCCCACCCAAGGAGCTTCTAGTACAGCGATGGCAAACCGTTTGAGCTCGGCGTGTCAGCATTTTGAAAAACCCTAACTTAACTCTGGTGCCGTGTCACATATAGAAATTTTTTGATATTTGCAACCATAGTAAAACAAAGACTTATATTTTTGATATTTATTTTATATATTTAAATGCCATTTAACAAAGAAAAATCAACCAAAAAAATGAGTTCGCGTGTCACCTCTGACACGAGTGTCATAGGTTCGCCATCACTGTTCTAGTACCAAGTCTTCCTTAGCACTTGCTGGCAAGCGCGCGCGCGCGCACACACACACACACACACAAATATATATAGGATTCAACAGCCCTCCCCAGTTCTAGACAGAAGAGAGGAAAATTTTGGAATTGTTTTACCACACACAAGGGTTTTAAAAAATCCCCCTTGTAGGCCTGCTCAATGCAGACAGGCAGCCTCTTGTTGACGTTCTTATATGTCTTGGATTCTGGTCTATACCAGAAGTTTAAGCTTCAGTTGATGACTCAGGCTCAGGAAGGACCCGCATGAATGGAGCAGAATTCAAATCCTTCTACGTGAACAAGCACCCCTCACCCCCCAAATACACCACGCCCATGCAAGAAGAAGCACACACATGCTCAAAAGTACATGCACACACACCCCCGGAGGGCACCCATCTGACCTGCTGGCTCAGTAGGAGTCTGGGCCCTATTGAGAAAATGTGGGAATATGGGAGCCTGGGCATTTTCTGAGGTTGGCAAAGAAAAACAGGAATGCAACATGACTTGAGACATTGAAACTGCTCCAAATCTCTTTTACTGAACCAGTCCTGCTAACTGACTCAGGTTACAACCCAAGGAAGGGCCTACCTTAGAAATGAATTACGATTAGGATGGCTCACTTTTCATATCAAGCTAAACAAGCTTGCACCATCCACACTGCACAAAATAATTTTATGAGATCTTAAGAGATAAATTATCCTGATGCAGGAATCAGAGCCATCTTATTAATGTGTGACATAGAGGTGCATTGTTTTAAAAAGGCAAAACAGTATTTTAAGGAGAGGGGAAAAAATATGGCGAGTTCGACCTGGCAGATCCTGGGCACTATATTATCTGTACACGGACCTTTTAAAAATTGTGATAAAGCATACATAACATAGAAGCTACTGTTTACGCCATTTTAAAGTGTGGTATATG